CCCACCTTTTCTCTGAGAAACTGTATTTCAATTATATTAAAAACACAAGAAATTTGGAAGAAGTATTTAAATAGAGTAACCATTTATATACTTTTATTACTATTTATTTTTTTATTTTATTGAGTGGAGAGATAAAACATCGATGGTTGCCTCCTGTATGCACCCTGACTGGGGGTCGAATCCACCACCTTTTGGTTTATGGGACGACACTGCAGCCAACTGAGTACAATGGCCAGGACATATTAATTCCTCTTTTGGGACTCAAATTCATTTATAGTTATTCCTTCAGATAAGATAAATACATATGAAAGAACTTTAAACACTGTGAAACAGTATATACACGTAATACATTATTAGATTTTAACAGAGTAAAACTGTAATATAAATCCTAAAAATATTTCAGACATGTCATTAAGATTAATGATATGATGTTTATGCTACAGATAAGTTATTTAGAGAAATATAGTACAGAGAAATACTCTAGGTATTTTAAAGACATTAAAGTGAAGATAGAGTTAAATCTAACTTTGTAGTTAAAAGTTCTCTCTTCTACCTCCTGGGGCAAAAAAAACCCAAAACACATATATAACTAAAATGGTTTAAAAATAGAGTAAGCCCTGGCCAGTGTGGGAGCACCAGCCTGCGCACTGAAGGGTCGAGGTCAAGGGTTCGATTTCCCATCAAAGGCATGTACCTGGGTTGCATATGTCCCAATCCCTGGCCCAATCAGGGCACGTGTGGGAGGCAACCAATCGATGTCTCTTTCAGATCCAAGTTTCTCTTTCTCTCTCTCTCTCTCTTTTTCCTCCCACTCCCCGTTCCTCCCTCTACTCTCTCTAAAGACCATTGGAAAAAATATCCTCCGGTGAGGATCAACAACAAAAATTAAGCTCACCCTCCTCTTCCTGACCAATAAAATCAGAACCCTTTATGTTCAACCTCAAGGCCTTTCCTTCTTTTCTCTTGATTTTGTCTCTGTCCTACATTGTTCAAAATAAGAGCCATGTAATGGATGATTACTGAGAACTTGAAATGTGGTAAGTCCAAACTGAGACATGGGCTATGTAAAATAATACTTTTTAAAAAATATGTTTTTATTGATTTTAGAGAGGAAGGGAGAGGGGGAGAGAGAGAGAAACATCAATGATGAGAGAGAATCATTGACTGGCTGCCTCCTGCATGCCCCACAATGGGATCGAGCTCGCAACCTGCGCATGTGCCCTTAACCGGAATCGAACCTGGGACCCTCCAGGTTCGCTCTACCCATTGAACCAAACCGGCTAGGGGTAAAATAATACCTAATTCCCAAGAAATTTTTGTATACATTTTCAATTGGAAATTTAAAATATTTCTTAGTTTTTAATATTGATGACCTATAGAAATGACAGTATTTTTTATATTCTGGATTAAAAATAGAATTAAAATTGATTTCACCGCTTTTTTTTTTTCCTTTTAATGTATTTTTTATTGATTTCAGAGCAGAAGGGAGAGAGATAGAAACATCAATGATGAGTCATTGATTGGCTGCCTCCTGCACACCCCCAACCCGGGCATGTGCCCTGACCAGGAATTGAACCATGACCTCCTGGTTCATAGGTCGACCCTCAACCACTGAGCCATGCCGGCTGGGCTTCTCCCCCCTTTTCTAATGTGGCCACTAGAAAATTTGAAATTACATATATAGCTAGCATTACATTTTTATGGGACAGGTGACTCCACCCACACCATGGCTACAACTGCCATTCATGTAAGGAGGACTCCCAAGTGTGCAGCTTCAGCCCAGACCTCTTCTCAAGCTCAGGCCCATAAGCACAGCTCGAATGCGGCATCTCCTCTCAGAATATTCAGAGCAAGCATGTCAAACTCTCTGCCCTCGGGCTGCATGCCTTGTTTATTTGGCCCATGTTAGCCTTTGAGTTTGACATGCTTGATTCAGAGGCATCTCAGCACGTCCACAATGGAACTCCTGTGCTTCTTCAGCAAACAGGTTCCTGTTCTAGTGTTATCTTAGGGAAGAACACTTCATCGATGTGGACAGCCAGCAACCTAGGAATCATGCTTGACAAGTCTCTCTCTTGTCCCTTTACCCCACACTTCAAATCCATCACCAGGTCCTTAATGTTTTGGTTTCTAAACCAGTGGTCGCCAACCTTTTGGATCTCACGGACCACCAGTGGCCTGTGGACCACTGGTTGGCAACCACTGTTCTAAAATACCTCTTGTGGCCGAAACCGGTTTGGCTCAGTGGATAGAGCGTCAGCCTGCAGACTGAAAGGTCCCAGGTTCGATTCCAGTCAAGGGCATGTACCTGGGTTGCGGGCACATCCCCAGTGGGAGATGTGCAGGAGGCAGCTGATCGATGTTTCTCTTATCGATGTTTCTAACTCTCTATCTCTCTCCCTTCCTCTCTGTAAAGAATCAATAAAATATATTTAAAAAAATAATAATAAAAAAAAAAACCTCTTGAATCCATTCTTTTCTTCTTCTTCCATCTCTTCCGCCACCACCCTACACCAAGCTACCTTCACATCTCATCTGACTGCTGCAGTGGTCTTCTAACTAATCTCCCTCATCCACTCTTGCTTTCCCTCAATTCGCTCTCCATTCTACTACCAAAGTGATTGTTCCAAAACCCTTCCAGCCTTCCATTCCTTGAAGGCCCTGCATGTTCTAGCCCCTTTCTAACTCTCTTCCATCACATCCTCTCTCTCTCTTTCATGCAGCCTCATGAGCCTCGGTTTCCTCTTTTCTGGTACCAAGCTCCCTACGCCCTAGAACTTTCTAATATGCTGCGCCAGCCCCTGGGAGCAGTGCTCCCCCTTTCTCCAGCCCAGGTCATCCCTACTCTGTCCCAGAGCTTCCTTCAAATGTTACTTCCTCCTATTATATCTTCTCACATCATGTGTCTCTTTGTGGAACTTATCAAAGTTGTACTTGTACATGAAGTCAAAAAACGGTTTTTTTTTGTTCATTATAGTACAATGACTAGCATAGAGATGGCATAAATACTTAAATAAGTGTGTGTATGTTTAAATTTAATTGAAACGTTTTGAAATATGATCAAAGGATGAAGTTAAAGCAACACAAAAGGTCAGATTAAGGAAAAGCTGAGTCATTCTGTAGCAGGGCCACTATCTGAGCCTAAAGGAGTCGGGTAGTAGTCCTAGTGCCCAGTGTGGAGAACACCAACTACCTGAAGGGTAAGAGTTAAACCACAGTGCATTTTGCTTGACACAATTACTTCAAATGCAGGCCCTACGTCTCTACATCTTGTTGACTTGCTTCTTGGCTGCTTGTTTATTTACATGCATTCTAGGCTGCTTTTTGAGAAGAAAGCAGACAGTTCTTCCTGGCTCCAACTTCTCTAAATACAAAACTCCCTTACTTCTTTCCCCTGCTTTCTCTACTTCTTTACCCTCCATCTCTAAAATGTTCTCATCTTTGTAAGATCTATGCTTCTAGGGTTTTGTGGTTTGTTCAATTTTATTTTGTTTATAGTTTTACAAGGTTCTATATTTACTAGTAAAAGTCATTTTACTTTAATGAATGCAAGTAGAAATAAAGCATAGTTAACTCCTCTAGGAAAAGTCGGTGTATCTAACTTAGTGTATTGCATCTGAAGGATTTTCCTCTTTAGTGGTTAGAAACTAGGATCCAGTATAGATCAGTAATAATGATGATGTTCGACATGTATTGAGGACTTGGTATATCTCGGGCACTTTTCTGAGCCATACACACATCCACACACACCCACACACACAATTTAACTCTCATAACAACACTGTTAAGTACATACTATGATTAACAGTGAGAAAACTGAAGCACAGAGAGTTTAAGTAAATTGCCTAGAGCAATGGTCGCCAACCTTTCAGACCTACTGACCACAGGTTGGCGACCGCTGGCCTAGAGCACATAGCTACAAACTGGCAGGGCTGTTTCAAATATATTTATTTTTATTTTTATAAATACACATATTCACAGGGTGGGACAAAAGTAAGTTTACAGTTGTGAGTACATGAAAGTTTATTTTATATTATTATTTATGAACTATTGTGTTAATTGCTGTGTTATTTTCCATATGAACTGTAAACCCACTTTTGCCCCACCATATATATATATATATTTTAAAATATATAAGATTAGTAAGAATTGTTTCCTGCCCTCAAGGTGCTTATAGTCAAAAGAGGTAAAGGAACATGAATAGGGATAATACAAAGCAGAATTTAAGTGACTTAGGAAGGGGTAAGAAAAGTTCCATGGAGTTTACAGGAAGGAGATGGTATCTGAAGGGGGAGAAGAATTATGCATTTAATCATTATTTATTGAGAACCTAGTATACCTAAAGATGGTGATATAAATATGATGTAGATCCCACTTCTCAGGGAATTATATTCTATCCAAAGGAAAATCTTCAAGGAAGAAGTGGTATTTGAGAAAGGCCTTGAACGGTAAGATTTTAAAAGATAGAGTAAGAAATACTTAGAGCATTCTGCATGTCTTGCATAATGAACATGCAATGAGCCCAAGAAGCATAATCCCCATTTTAAGCTTTTACTTATGTCCTGCTTATTTAAGAAAAGGCGACTTCTGACTGCATTACCTGCATTGACTGTTGAGCATTCTGCATGAGTGTCAAACAGTATTTGATCCAGCATCTTGCTATTTCGCCTTTTCTTTGATGATAAAGCTCTGGCACATCTCCTTCAGTTTCAGTAGCTACAATTACAAACATGATTTGTCTAAGTTAATGGTCACAATTGTAATGTTCATTGTTACTCATTCTTTTTTAAAAAAATATATTTTTATTAATTTCAGATAGGAAGGGAGAGGAGAGAGAGAGAGAAAGAGAGAGAGAGAGGGAGAGAAACATCAATGATGAGAATCATTGATCAGCTGCCTCTTGCACACCCCAAATTAGGAATAGAGCCTGCAACCTGGGCATATGCCCTGACTGGGAATCAAACCGTGATTTCTAGGTTCATAGGTCGATGTTCAACCACTGAACCACGCCAGCTGGGCATGAGTCTTTTTTATATCACTTTTTCCTATATAAGTAACAGATTCTTACTGAAGCACTGGGAAAAATACCCCACTCCAAATCCCTACCACCCAGAGGTACTCACTGATATTATTTTTGCATATTTCTTTCTAGTTTTTTCTTATGTATTATCTGAAGGTGAAAACTAAGGTCAAGATATATATATATTCAGTTTTAAATATAGCTTTTCGCCTGGCCAGCATGCCCAGTGGTTGAGCATCGACCTATGAACCAGGAGGTCATGGTTCGATTCTCGGTCAGGGCACATGCCTGGGTTGCAGGCTCAATCCCCAGTGGGGAGCATGCAGGAGGCAACCGATCAATGATTCTCTCTCATCATTGATGGTTTTTCTCTCTCTCTCTCTCTCTCTCTCTCTCTCTCTCTCTCTCTCTCTCCCCCCCCTCTTCTTTCCTCTACTCTCCCCCCCTCTTCTTTCCTCTATGAAATCAATAAAAATATATTTTAAAATATTAAAATTTACCAAAACTTATGCACTAATACAGACCATACACAGTGCCATTCGCAGTTGAGAAATGTAAACCTACAGATGCAGTATTTAATAACTGTAAAATATGATTTTAAATGTAAAATAGCTGTAATACATACTATACTACTGTATAATTTCACAGCCAACTCCTGTTGCTATTGTGGTGGACCCAAGTGTTGCAAGTATCTGCTTAAAATGCTGTGTAAATGCTAATCATCTCTGAGCAGTTCATCTCCCCGGTAAATTGCATATTGCAGTAAAAAGTGATCTCTCAGGGTCTCATGTATTTTTTGTCATATTTAGTGCAGCACTGTAAGCCTTGAATAACACCATGGCGCCAAACGAAGTGCCTCTAGCACTGCCTCTGGAAGTGCTCCCAAGAAGCAGAGAAAAAGACATGACAAGAAAAACTGCTTGATAAGTACTGTAGATGGAGTTCTGCAGCTGCAACTGCTGCCATTTCAAGATAAATGAATCCAGGATAAGGATCGGTGTTAAAAAAAAAAATTGTGAAGCTGTCACTGTAACTATACCAGCAGGCATGAAGACCTTGAACTTTTTGCAAAATACCTTTTATCTAGTACTAAAAATGCAGCTTTTATGTGGGTGCAGATTACTTAAGAAAGGCATACCTAGAGATGTAAGGCACAACTAATATGATTTGAGAAAAAGCGAAGTCACTATATGACAATTTAAAGCAAAAGGAAGGTGAAGGTTCTTAAGCTGGAGAATTTAATGCCAGCAATGAATGATTTGATACTTTTAGAAAGAGGTTTGGTTTTAAAATCTGAAGTTAACAGAGAAGCAGCTTCTGTCAACCAAGAGGCAGCAGACAAGTTCCTAGATGCTATTCAGAAAATCATTGTGGAGAAAGGATCTCTGCCTGGACAGTTTTTTAAGGCAGGTGAAAGTGCACTAATCTGGGGGGGAGGGGAAGCCACAAAGGACATTTATTAATAAGGCAAAGAAGCAAGCGCCAGGAGTTAAGATAGGAAGGATAGCCTAGCTCTACTCTTCTGTGCAAATGCAGGCGGGTTTATGATCAGGAGTGCCCTTATA